GGCGCCAGCCAGCCATTCACACCCGGTCTTCTTGACCTGGCAATGACACGGGGCCCGGATGGAAGAGGAGCGAGTGCGGTTGATACGGCGCAGATTTACTCTATCATTTAATTCATGCGCAAATCACCGTCCCTGTGGCACCCTGCTCTGTGGAGCACACAGAAGACCTCGTCGAAATCGACGGTCGAGCTAATGAACTGGAGATGACCTCAGACACAGTCGCCAACGTAACATGAATATCCGTCGTACACGTGCCACACCCTTACTTGGCACCTGTTTGCGTCTGACGCAAGAGTTGTGTTTGTATTAGAGGTCTACGCCGGCTGAAACACAACATAAAGGAGAAGCGAACCTCTTCGCGCGCGTGCTTTTCCTCGACAGAAACTCCGCAATGAGGAGTTAAATCTCCGACGATGCATTCGGCGAGATCGTGGACGACGGCCATTTTCATCACCCTTAATAGAAAAAAATAGTAAATCACAAATTAGGGCAACGGCTAACGTGTAGCGCAAAAATATTCGCTGGTATACATTTATTCAGAGAATGTGAAGGGCATCCGCTGTTATGCTGACCGGTTTGCAACATGCCTCTTTAAGAATATGCTTTACTCTGATTTTAGAGACGCAGAAGCCGATGTAGGGCGATTAACTTAGACTGTTTTGACCTCTGGCTATTCATTTTTTGACATATTCATAGGGCAACGAAGACTGAATAATAATTTGTAAAAAGTGACTGGTATATTCAAAAAACGCAGGAAAATTAGGCACGCATCCTGCTTTAGTGCGGACGATCGAGGTTACATATAGAACACTCTTAAGAGTTGTGATCAAAACTCTTTTGTTGCTTTGCAAAGCAGAGGCCCAAAATTATAAGAAACCAGCGATGAAGGAAGTAGCAATTATCTCAAGAGGCACATTTTAGTTTTTTTCCTGAAAAAATCGCATCGCACATGCTTCACTACATGGGATGAATCTCACATCTACAACTTCATAGCACTAGGTACAATAAACTACGTTTCGAAGGTATCATCTAAAAAGTTACACCATAATTCGATGGAAATAATATTGAAAATCAAGAGACAAGTCAGACAGAATCCATGCATGCATCCATGAAGCTAAACCGTGCACAGCGGTGGTCGGAAACTTCAAAATATCCATTAAATCCCTTATATGTGCTGTTGATTAACAGCTTACGTACCCAGAATTTCAGTTCAGATAATTATGGGATAGAGACTGACTAATATATTAACTGCGACATGCGGCACTAGCGATCTGTGACATATATTGTTGTCAATATTCAGTTGTAAATAGTCACCTATCCTCTCTGAAAATAAGCGAAGAAATATGTTGTAAAGAGATACGTAAAACATGAGCCGCAATGGCTGCTTGTGGATTTGTCGCCCTCCATCCATATCCTAACCTCAGGATCTCGCACTGACTACTTAAACTATGCATACGTCGCTCCACCGATGGCGATCACGAGTGCAGGGGACTTCATCGATCTATCCTGAGAACAGAATACACGTGATTCCTCCTAACTGAACCATTGGTCCGTCAGGTTAGCAGGATTCAGATACAGAAGTGAGCTACTGACACATTTCTTCAGTGGAAAGTTTAAGGACGGGTGTACCTTTTCAGCCTTCTAAAGCAGTTTAGTTTAGTCTAACGACTAGCTTGCCACAGCAAAGACTACGTTGAAATAAAGACATATGAATGTTGATGAATACTACTCGTTCGAGTAGTCGCACCAACCCTAAGAGGAGGTCCGATAAAACGGTTCAGGTTTTCGCTGGATTAGAAATTCACACTTAAAATGCATGGTGACAACAATTCCTTCAACACGTCTCTCAGCATGCAACTGTCAGAAGAAGATCCGACCGCTGGGAGGACACTTTTATTTGCCTGACGTTTCGACATCCGTCGCGGATTCTTCATCCGAGACATGAGCAGAAAGCAGTAGTAGAAACGGATAACATATGCACAGGAAGTTTAAGAACACAGTCATGGTTGCGCACGAATGAAAAATAAAGACAATTGACGATAATTGCCCCTTGTGCGTTGATTGTTTTATGACCGGAATGCGGGCTCTGACTTCCTGAATTTTCATCACGCGTGGTGTAATTTGGATGTGATGATTGCTCAGCTATCTGGTCCCCGGTGTTGGCGTAAGACGACGTGATCTGTGCGTTCCTCAAGTGAAGCCGAAAGACGCACAGCCACGGTGAGAAACATCTGGAGTCGTCTGTAGGAGCTGGTGCAGTTGTGGACGAAGCAACGACGTCGGAGAAACTGGCAGACTTCTTGAGACA